CTGTTTTGACGAGACAAATAAATCCTCTGTTTAATGACCTGACCAGTGTGATCAGCTTGATCACTCAGTAGCTTTTTTATCAACAAAGTAATACAAGCAAACATGCACTTTTAGGCAACTTCTTAAACTTCAAATCTGCTAGCCACAGCCTGGACTCTAAAAGTTATATCAGGGCTAGTTTGTGTTATTAAATAACGTGCAAGACTCTAAACTCTAAAGTCTCCCACAAATGTGTGGATCGTTATATGCACCGACAATCAGTGCGTAACGGCATTTTGGTTCATGTCCATGCAAAGATGAGTGCTGCAGTGGGTCTAGACACTAGGGAAAAAGTGTATGTATAATATAGCGTATATTATAAATATATAGAAGTGCTTTTTGAGGCTTGACAGGGCATGATTTTCATAAATACGCTGGTTTTGAGCGCGGCATTTAATAAACAGCCGCAGGTGCGTACGCTGGAATCTGTGCGGATCTCACACGAAATGCCACGTCCGATCTTGCGTATCTGGAATATACACCCAAAATATACACCCTTTTCTGCGCAACTTTCATACATGAGTGTCCCAGAACCCTGAACAACGTCGAATGATCCTCTCTCTATCTGCAGTTGTGTGTTAGCTAAGAGCTCACCGGGTGTCAAGAACAGCACAGAGGTTCAGTGGCCGCGCCCGTGGTTTCCCCCAAAAAATGTGTCCATTGCATCAAGCTGATCTCACTGGTCAGGTCACTGAACAGAGGATTTATTTGTCTCGTAAAAACAAGATTTTTTTTAAGTCATAAACACAGGATTTTTTTAAGTCATAAAAACAGGATTTATTTGTCTCATAAAAACCAAAACTTTACTCATAAAAACAGAAACTTTTTTTAATTCAAGTGAATGCAAAAAGCTTCCGTAACTAATAACGGAAAAACAAATAATTCTGATTCTGAGTTGTTAATTAGATGGATAGACAGAGACACATTAAAGGTGACAATTCATCAACTTCATCACATTCTTCAAATAAATAACATACAGTGCCTTGCGAAAGTATTCGGCCCCCTTGAACCTTTTTATTAAAAAGCATGACAATTCACTGCTATGCAGATGACACACAGCTTTATCTGTCGATGAAGCCTAATCAGACAGATCAGCTAGAAAAGCTCAGTGCCTGCATAAAGGACCTTAAAATGTGGATGACTCTTAACTTCCTACTTCTCAACCCGGAGAAGACAGAAGTGATCCTACTCGGTCCGAAGCGCCTGCGTGACTCCCTCACTAACCAGATGGTTACTCTCGATAATGTCAGTATAATACCCAGTAACACTGTGAGGAATCTTGGAGTCATTTTTGACCAAGAACTCTCCTTCAAGGCTTATATAAGCCAAGCAACTAAAACGGCGTACTTCCACTTACGGAACATTGCTAAAATTAGGAATTTCCTTCCTAAAAGTGACGCGGAAAAACTCATTCACGCGTTTGTCACCTCAAGGCTCGACTACTGTAACGCTTTACTGGCAGCGTGCCCTAAAGCCTCTTTGAAGAGCTTCCAGCTCGTTCAGAATACAGCAGCTAGGATCTTAACAGGTACCAAAAGGAGGGAGCACATAACTCCGGTGTTAAAATCACTCCACATGGCTCCCTGTGGAGTACAGAATAAAGTTTAAAATCCTACTCTTAACATATAAAGCCATAAATGGCTTGGCTCCTTCTTATCTCCAAGACACGTTAGTGTCGTATCAACCAGGTCGAGCGTTGCGCTCACAAAACGCCAGACGTCTGGTGGTCCCTAAGGTCTCAAAGGTCACTGTTGGTGGCAGAGCATTTAGCTACCAAGCTCCTTTACTGTGGAATCAGCTTCCCATTTATGTTAAGGAAGCAGATACGGTCTCCACATTCAAGGCCAGGCTTAAAGCACTTTACTTTAATTTAGCATATAATTAGGTAATATATAATATGTAGTGTATATATTATATATATATGCTGTATTATGTTATATATTATGTTATATATTATTCAATAATGTATTGTGTTATGTTGTATATTATGTTATATATTATGCTGTATGTTATTCTTTATTCAAGGCTAGGTTTAAAACAGTCCTCTTTAGTTTAGCATATGGCTAGGAAGGTAAGACTCGGAGAAGGTTAAACTCCTCAGAGTGTCAGTCAAGCTGCATAGGGAGTCAGTTTGCTGGGAGAAGTATGGTAACTTGAGCACTATCCTCTCCTCCTTCCTACTTTATCTGTTTAGCATTTTTAGGATTCTGACTGTAGTTTGTTCATTGCTATTCACCCGTTGTCCCATTGTCTGTTTCATGGTACGATGACGGGATCTCTGAGCCTGGCCTCCTCCATCTGCACCTGCGGACTGCCCCGCCTGACCCGCCTGGGAGTGCTTCAGTCCTGCACCGGACCTGTCCACGTTCAGCGTCCACTGGTCCACGTCCTGTAGCTAGCTTAGGTCCTAGATCATTAGTCTGTCCGTCCGGAGGAGCGGATCCCTTTCTCATATGGGTCTCCCTCCCTGTGGGTTTCCCTAGTTCTCCTCCAAGGTTTCTCACTTTTTCCCACTGGGTTTTTTAAGAGTTTTTCCTTGTCGATGCAGGAGGGTCTTGTTGGACAGTTAGTGTCCAACAGAAAGGATTGGTGATGATCAGGACACTTTAGCATTCTACAACATGTATGGACATTTTCTTCTGTGTGTGCTTTATATTCTTCATGTGTTTTAACTGTTGATTCTCTGACCTGTGTTGGTGATTTCAATGGTTTTGTTAAGTCCTCTGAGATGACTTCTGTTGTGACCTAGGGCTATACAACAATAAATTGTATTGTATTGTATTGTATAGTCAGAGAGCAGCCGTCCTCCTGTGGACTCACCACCTGCAGAGGGTCAGTGAGGGGCTGGTGCTATGAGACTTGGGTGGCATCTCTGACTGCCACCCCCCTGACCCAGAAATGGATTAAAGGGTAGAAAATGGATGGATGGATGGATGATAACTTGATACTTTTAGGGTTTAGGGACGTTTTCCCACAAAATTAAAAATAAATGTGTCTGGAAAAAAAACACTGACTGCATCTTTAAATGTTTTGGATCATCACCTCTGTTTTTGATTAACTGTTTTTTTTTAAATAAACATAATTTGCGTTTCTTTGAGCATTGAGCCATGTTTCAAAATTCTTCTCTCATTATTCACAGAACTAGAGTTATTTGTTCTGTGAATTATAACATGATATCATTAAAGTTTATCTCATCTTATATCAGGAACTTCTGGATCAAACAAGTAACTCCGCCCCTTCTGTCATAAAGTTCCTTTCTCATGCCACATTAACGCAGGGCTGGACAGGGGCCAAATAACAGCCTGGGCATGTATGCCTTCTCGACGGCCCGGGCGTTTTTTTATCACGCTTTTTTACGTTTATTAAGTATGCGGAAGCTCATACTGTTGAGGATTTATGCAGTTTCAACAATTAAAATAAAGTGCAATGGTCTACAGAGAGTAATAAACATGTCACTACAGAGTGACGGAGTCCCCACAGACCAACACTAATGTTTGTTACAAGTCTGGAACGCATAATGTCATTGAATCTGTTCAACAACCTTTTACTTTTTGGCACAACCAAGATGAGCTGTTAATGCAAGGGAAAAATTAGGTACCAAAGCTTTAATTTAGCGAGTTTAGTTGCGGTTCGCAAGGAGGCGCAGGGAAGATGCAAACTGTTTCTTGCAGCGGCGTATTTATCGTGTGCACAGGTTATGCAAAGACACACACACAAAAAGCAGAGAATGGTCTTGTGCGTGTATAGTCTTGGGTACATGGCCAGGTTGCAGCTGGGTGCTCCTGTGTTAGGGTTAGGGTTAGGGTCGTCAAAGCGGATCACAGGCCTCTGACACGGAGGATGCCAGATCCCGGTCCAGTACATACAGAAAGTGCCCCATGGTCAGGCGCCCCCTCGAACATTTCTCAACGGATTTAAACAAGATTCCAAGTTCCGGGCGGCACGGTGGCTGAGTGGATAGCACTCTCGCCTCTCAGCAAGACGGTCCTGGATTCGAATCCCGGTCGGACCAGGGCCTTTCTGAGTGGAGTTCACATGTTCTCCCCGTGTCTGTGTAGGTTTCCTCCGGGTACTCCGGTTTCCCCTACCACTAAAAACATGTCCAATATAGTTCTGTGTGGAGTGAGAAACTAATGCCCAAAAATAACAATCGTAAACCGCTTTGTGACTCTGGTCTGTGAAAGGCAGTATATAAATAAAGATTACTTACTTACTACAACTTCCCACATGGAAAAAAGGGATTGAATGCTTCTAAACTTGGACATGTAAGTGAAGATATGCAAAACCAACTTTCCGGACCTTTTGACCATGTTGTTTTAGATCCATCCATATTCAGAGCTCGGAGATGTCTTCTGTTTTTATTTTTGTTATTTGCAGTAAAAAAGTATTGCTCCAAAATTAGATTTGGCTATTTTGCAGGTTAAAATACATGTTTTTACAAGTGTGCTGCTGGTCAATTTCTAATATGAAAGATGTTTTGCTACATCATACTTCTTACTTTTAAGGCATCCTATTAAAAAGCATCGAACATATAAAACAATTCAAACCATTCTGGCAAACCACACATTTCCTGTTCCCTCCAGTACTACTCGCCACTAAAGACTTGACATTTAGTATGACGCAAAATGTCAACAACTTATCCGTATAATAACTCGCTGGGACTGCACATTACACCTTTGTACGTGGCCCTGCTTCCCTTACTAATCCACACACGCCTCCCCCTCCCCAGACACTTCACATGCGCGCCATCACCTTTACACAAATTGGGGTGATGTTTCTTAAAAGACCGGTTTTGAACTTTACTGGTTTTCCGATCGGTCTGGCTGCCATTTCAGCAGAGTCTTTGTGAAAGAAGTAGTGCTCCCACGTTTCCGGTAATCAATGTTGATGAATGGGTGGAAAGCCGGTCTTTATAACGGGCCGGGCTGAATAGGAGGTTTCCATTATCTCCCTCAATGTATTCACTCTATCAAAGTGACAGGGCTGAGGCGGGCCACACTCCATCGCACCCAGAGCACCCGTACCATAGGGATCATTCTTCTCCAAGGAGATCGCGGGCGGAGGTTGGCAAAGGCTGGGCGGAACAAGCAACACGGCCAAAGAATGTAAGAATGCAAGTGAAAAGCAAAAGGAGGAGGGGAGTGGTTTTGTTGTAGTAGAATTGCAACGCACTGTATACTTAGCAAATGGGTAAAAAATATGTTACAACAAAGCAGATGAGGCCTGTAATGCCAATGGCTTGTTATTAATAATAGTAACTCCATGGAGATAACCACAGAAGTATCAATACATTTGAAAAAGCAGGCTGGGTTTAGCTTGGAAACGCTTGACAAAAACCCAACCAGAGATCATTTTTTAAAACCTTAACAGTGAAAGGAAAGAACCATTCACAACACAGTCGTAGTCAGCAGTCGTTTTTCACGGTGTCATAAGCGTTTTATTTGGCGGGAACAATTTTGTACCTGCTTGAACGTGGTGAGCCATCATCCACTCCCCCCTCTGACAAATTCACCGGATGAGCCCAGTGTTCAAGGCTTTTTGCGCCGTTCGCCTTTCAATCGCTGACAAGTAAAATGGAAGGAAAATATTATGAAAGGTTTTCTCATTCCTTAAACAAGAAAAATAAAGTATTACAAGCCAGCAGCGGGTAAAAGCACGGTAGCACATAGTTTCTGCATGCTTGGGAAAGTTCTTAGAAAAAAACCATCTCCGGCCCAATGTCAAACAGTCAACGATTGATTCTGAATGTTCCTACAGGAGACGAGTTGTGCTTTACCTGTTGTATACAGTTGAAAGTTTACACCCCCTGGCAGAAATGTTGATTCTTTTGACCATATTTTTGAGAACATAAATGATTAAGTGAGAAGGGAAAGCATGTATAGCATGGCTCTTTTAATATACTGTGTGTATGTGTGAAGTTTACATGCAATGAGACAAAAATAACTTTTTTTTTACCATAGTTGCATTTAAATGACAGCAAATGAATCCATATTTTTCACTTAATGACTCGAAACAACAACAGTAACAGGCCCTTTTTGCTTATAGAATTATATTTTTGTAAATGATAGTCTTTCATATTTACACTTTTGCTTTTAATTGTTCAAAGTGATCATGTGTTGAACAAATATAAGGCCCAGAGCACTTGGCCATACAAAAAAAAGAGTACCTTTGAAAAAAAAAGTATTCAATAGCCCTGCATTAGACATTAAACAAGTGACTAGGCTCAGGGAGAATATGCAAACTCAACAGAGAAAACCTTACTAGGGCCATTCATCTCTGCAGTCAAACTATTCTCCCACAGCTAAACCCATTGGTTTAGCTGTGGGTTAGAAATGTTCAGACTCATTTGTTATAAGGATTTCATGTTACATTATTCCACATTAGCTTTTTTAGATCTCGCAGTCGTGATTGTTCTAAGTCGGCAACATTTTGCGTTTTTATTCCATCCGAGCAGCTGCAGAATAATTAAACATGACAGATTTGCGTCTCCAGAAATTGTAATAATTAATATTACCCAGTGGAAAAAACAACGGTGATCAGAGATTCGTAAGATTAAGCACACATGTCTGATGTAGCTTTGTGATGTGATCAGGCTCATCCTTTTAAACTCACAATAACTGTAAACTGTATTGACAGCTCACTTTCATAAATAACATGTTGTTTGTCCCAATAAAAATGGTCTTTCAAAAGTGACATTTTGCTGCGGCCCTCGGCCCCCCCCCCCGCAGCCCTCGGCCCCCCCGCAGCCCTCGGCCCCCCCGATGCCCTCGGCCCCCCCGCAGCCCTCGGCCCCCCCGCAGCCCTCGGCCCCCCCGATGCCCTCGGCCCCCCCGCAGCCCTCGGCCCCCCCGCAGCCCTCGGCCCCCCCGCAACCCTCGGCCCCCCCGCAGCCCTCGGCCCCCCCGCAGCCCTCGGCCCTCCCGCAGCCCTCGGCCCTCCCGCAGCCCTCGGCCCCCCCGCAGCCCTCGGCCCTCCCGCAGCCCTCGGCCCTCCCGCAGCCCTCGGCCCCCCCGCAGCCCTCGGCCCCCCCGCAGCCCTCGGCCCTCCCGCAGCCCTCGGCCCGCCCGCAGCCCTCGGCCCTCCCGCAGCCCCCGGCCCTCCCGCAGCCCTCGGCCCCCCCGCAGCCCTCGGCCCTCCCGCAGCCCTCGGCCCTCCCGCAGCCCTCGGCCCTCCCGCAGCCCTCGGCCCTCCCGCAGCCCTCGGCCCCCCCGCAGCCCTCGGCCCTCCCGCAGCCCTCGGCCCCCCCGCAGCCCTCGGCCCTCCCGCAGCCCTCGGCCCTGCTCCTGGCTCTCAGGGCGGTGTCCTTTGCGACTGTGTTTTACAGTGTATGCACATGCTTTTGACAGCTGAAGCAGCGCTCAGACCTACAGCGAACAGATTGTGCATTCCTGCGATCACACTTCAGCAGATGTGAGTTCAGGTGATTAGAAAAGTGAATAAAGTGTTTTACATTCTTAAAACACAGCTGCTACTTCATGGATTGTGCTTATTGCTGGTTATTTTTAGAAGGTAACCCCCACGATACACAGTGCTTTGTTGAGCTCCTTTCTTGTTTACAAAGTACAAATACAACGTTTATCTAAAACATTCTTTTTCAGATACATTTAAGTATATTCTGCGGAAAGTTAAGGAAGTGACTTGATTAATCGAAACTGATATTTGCTGGAATTATAATCGATAGCTGCAGCTCGTGATCCTGCTGAGCGAGGATCGAGCACAGACCAGGGCAAACTGTGGACTGAGGGCCAGAGTTAAGTGGCCTCCTCTTCCAGCTGATAGTCGGTGGATCTAAGGCCCCGTTTGGACGGAGACGCTGCGGCAGTAAAACGCTATAGTTGGATGTCGGTTTCCACCTCCTGTTCACATGGAGACTGTGTTTCAGTTTCCATTCTCGCAGCTGCTGTTAAATGCAGAATGATGTTGGTGCATTTTTTCACGTGGCCTGATGAGGATGTTGTTGAGGAGGTGAGTATACTGTGGGGGGGCCGGGGCTCGCGTGTGTCGTGTTGTAAAGTTCCTCTGCCCACTACTGGCCGGGCGCTAAAACTACATCGTATTTCATCCTCGCATGAACACTGTGAAATATGCATAAGTAGCCAGGTCGTATCTGTTGATAGCTTGGCAACGTCTGCGCAGCGCCTCTGTCTAAACAGGGCCTAAGGCTACCAATGAAGGTTTGTCACTTAAAGAAGCTATACCCGATTTTTTTTCTAAGTAGTTCATAAAAATGCTTATTACTACATACAAGTTGTATTATAATCCGTAATTTAATTGAAAACTTGAGGTCATTGATTCAGCTGTGTAAGAATACAAGCAGTGAAAAGTGCTGAGTAGAGTCTTAGCGGGCAGCGAACAGCCTGCGTCCTCTAGCCTCTACAGCGCTGCTTAACACCAGGGCTTCGCATTTGTTTATTGATCGTGGCTAGCTCGGCTAGCTTCTCTGCACAGACAACTGTGTGCAGATAAGCTGCACAGTGTAGTGACAGGCGCTGATAGCTTGTTGTACTTGCAGAGCAATGTTAGTATTTTACCCACATGAATTACAAACAGAGAGTGCGTTGCCAAAGGGCAGCGGTCATTATTGGTTTGAGAGTTCTGTTATCAAGAAAAAATGATCGGTAGAATTACATTCAAGTCAATGGAGGGTTCTACTGCTGCCTAAGGAGCTGTATAATAAATTATAATTAAATATTCTAATATATTCTAATGTTTAAATTAATACATTCGGATGTGAAACTAGCGGTATTCTTTTACCTATATATTTTGTTAGCAGTGCGTTGCTTTTGTACCATTTCATCGGTGACTGTTGTACAGCTTACAAGAAGTTGTGCTAATGCTAATGTTAGCATACATGTCAGATCGCAAATTGAGCTAGATGGCTCTGTGTTATGAGAGCGTAGGGGACATGAGAAAAGCCTGTGAGCGAGTTGGGGGCGGTGCTAAACCAGTGGTTCCCAAAGTGGGGGTCGCAAGATGATTTCCGAAAAAAATAAAAGACAAAAAACATTTGAGCAATTATATAGCCCTTAAATATTTATTTTGCATATGATTTAATTCAAAAGGACTAGTTAAATTGTGTTTGGAGAATATAATATATTTGAATTACGTTTGTAATTTTGTCCCAGTCATTGACAGCGTCAATCAAAATCTAGTTACGCAGCTTACGTCATGCGCAGCGACAAAGCATGTCCTGCTGTTGTTTGCTAAAACTAAAGGTGTTTGGAGGCTACAAACAAATAATACCTGCTTTAAAATGAAACGTGGTTAATATCCACAACAGAAAAACCCGGAGGGGGAGAAAAGTCACTTGTGTCAGAGGTCAGGCTGATGGTGCAAAGAGAGGGGGTGAGGGCAGCGGTAGAAGAGGGTGGTAAATCAATCAATCAATCAATCAACGTTTATTTGTAGAGCGCCTTTCCTACACAAGGCAACGCAAAGCGCTTCACATCCCCTATCACATCATGCATAAATCAAACACATTAAGAGCACAAGATATATTAAAAACATTAAAAATAAAATCACAAAAATTAAAAACCTTTAAGCATTAAAATCACAGATGGGACTAAAATCATAAATAGTCACAGTGCATTAAAAAGATTAAAGATAAAAACAAAGATGAAAAGATAAAATCATTCAGTTGTATATGCGCAGCTAAACAGAATTGTTTTGAGCCTAGATTTAAAAGATGCCAGAGTAGACGCCTGTCTCACATTCTCAGGAAGACTGTTCCAGACTCTAGCCGCATGAATCTGAAATGCAGTTTGCCCATGTCTAGTACCGACTCTGGGCACTAACAGGAGTCCAGTCCCTGTGCTCCTCAGAGTCCGGGTCGGTTCATATGGCACAAACATGTCATGGATGTACCTTGGCGCGAGACCATGGAGAGTCTTGTACACAAGTAAAGCTGCTTTGAAGTCTATTCTCTGAGGAACAGGAAGCCAGTGCAGAGACCTGAGAACTGGACTAATGTGGTCGTACTTCCTAGTTCTGGTCAGGACTCGAGCTGCTGCATGTTGAATGTACTGCAGCTGTTTTACAGCCTGTTTGGACAGACCTGTGAGCAGGCCATTGCAATAGTCTAACCGACTGGAGACAAAAGCGTGTATAAGAGTCTCCAAGTCTGCCTTAGACACTATGTTTTTAATTTTAGCAATGTTTTTTAGGTGGTAATAAGCTGCTGATGTTACAGATTTTATGTGGCTTTTGAAATTTAAGTCTGAGTCCATTATCACTCCTAGATTTCTGACCTGATTTGAGGGTTGTAGAGAGAGAGCCTGGAGGTGACAAATAACGCTCTCTCTTTGTTTCTGGGGTCCGAAAACAATTATTTCAGTTTTGTCGGTGTTTAGTTGGAGAAAGTTATTTTGCATCCAATCACCGATTTGCTGGACACAGTGAAGGAGCGAGTCCACTGGTTCATGCTCTCCTGCTGTCAGGGACACATAGACCTGAGTATCGTCAGCGTAATTGTGATAAGAGACATTATTACTGTGAATCAACTGACCTAGAGGCAACATGTAAATATTAAACAGAAGAGGACCCAGGATTGACCCCTGTGGCACTCCGCAGGCCAGGGCCAAGTGGTCTGAGGTACAGTTTTCGATCTCCACAAAAAACTTTCTGTCTTGTAAATAGGACCTAAACCAGCTTAGGGCGGTGCCAGCAACACCAACCCAGTCCTCAAGTCTCTGAATGAGGATGCCATGATCAATAGTGTCAAAAGCAGCACTTAAATCTAACAGAAAAAGGACTGAGACTTTTCCTGCGTCAGTGTTTAGTTTGATGTCATTTGTTACCTTTATTAGCGCGGTCTCAGTGCTGTGGTGGGGTCTAAACCCTGACTGGAACATATCATAAGCGTTATTGATTATTAACAATTCTGTAAGTTGTTTATAGGCAACTTTTTCTAGAATTTTTCCCATGAAAGGCAGATTTGAAATGGGCCGATAATTTTTGAGTGCCAGGGCTTCCAGACTCCTCTTTTTTAGGAGGGGCCTGATGACCGCCGTTTTCAAGGCCATTGGGAATGTTCCAGATTCAAGAGACATATTAACTATTTGTGTAAGTGAAGGTAAAAGACTGCTCAGAACTGACTTGAGAAATCTAGGAGGTAATACATCCAGGCTGCATGTGGAGGAACTCAGACTAGTGATTATCTCCTGGACAGTTTCAATTTGTACTGGTGTAAAGTGCGTCAGCCCAAAAAGCCTCACTGGCGGTTGGATTATTATTTCTATCGTGGAGGTGATGGCGTTTTTGATACTTTGGACTTTGTCATTAAAGAACTGAGCAAACTCATTACATTTAGATTTGGAAGTAAGTTCTGATGGCATCTTAACAGGGGGATTTGTCAATCTATTTACTGTTGAAAACAGAACACGTAGATTGTTGCTACAGCCTTCAATAGTTTCAGAAAAGTACATTTCCCTCGTTCTACGTAGTTCCCTGTTAAAATTGCACAACGCATCTTTGAAGATCTCATGGTCAACTTTGAGATTTGACTTTCGCCACTTCCGCTCGGCGAGAAACACACACAGTCTCTATTGGTTTAAAAAGTGAACTCTGTTGTACTTTGTTAAGTTCCAGATGCATAACTGAGTCAGCACAGTTCAGTGGCAGGACTGTCGTTACACTGCCAGACGGACAGAGGTCAGTGTTTGCACCACAGTACTCACCCGGTGCTGGTAAGGAGGAGGAGGAGGGGGGTAGTGGGGGCCGAGAAGCCTCAGATGTAAACAGTCACGCCCCCCTCGGGGAGCACTGAACAACATGGCGTAGGAAGTCCGTCAACAAACTGGTGCCGTATCTGTTCGGGTGCAGACCATCTGGACGATAGGCCACGTGACGCTTCCAGAACAGGCCAAAGTTGTTCACAAAAATAAAGTTAAAAGTGCTGCATGTAGACTGGAGCCACATGTTGAGCGCCACAACGCGACTGTAGAGGCAGTCACCCCGGTTTACAGTCGGGACTGGACCAGAGATAAAAACACACAACCCGAAGGACTGGAGGAGGCGGAACAGATCCATAAAGTGCTTCTTTGTGACCTCGGACTGCTGCAGCTTCATGTCGTTGATCCCCACATGCACGATTACCTTGGATATGGTATCGGGCAGGGAGTGAAGCAGAGGAGGGAGACGGATGAGCAGGTCTGGTACAGTGGCTCCGGTAATGCAGTGAGTGACCGCGTTAAAAAAGCGGACGTGCCTCACGATGGAATCTCCAACAATCAAAGTAGTCGGGGCGAAGAGTGGACGCGGCCGCGGAGAGGGCGCTCGGTGTCCATGGCCAGAACCAGCGGGCTCATCCAGGGATGGGTCCGAACCAGGGCGCTGCTGAACACATGGAGAGGAGTGGGGGTGTTGATTCCCAGCTCCGGGCAACCCAC